AGAAAAAAAATATATGATATGCAGGCAGAGTTCTTGGAAATACAGAAGAAAAAGAAAGGGGTAAAGTAACTAGCATTTACTGAGCTGATATTATGTGTCAGATATAAGGTTGGGAACTTTTAAAAATTTACTATATTACGAAATTAACTTTTTTTTTTTTTGGTGTATAATTCTATGGGTTTTGATACATATTTAGATTGACGTAACTGCCACTATAGTCTAGATACAGGATAGTTTTTTGTAGTCTGTGTAATGAAACTCTCCCCATGCCATTAATTTCTGGTTATCACTGATCTGACTCTTTGTTCCCATAGTTCTTGCCTTTCTCAATATGTCATATAAATAGAAACATATAGCACATGTAACCTTTTGAGACTTGTTCCTTTCACTAAGCATAATGCCTTTAAGATTCATCCACACTGTGTACACCAACAGTTTATTCCTTTCATTGCTGAATAGTTGTCCATTGTATAGAAATACCATGCTTTGTTTATCCAGTCATACATTCGGGCTGGGTCCAAGAAGTCCAGGAGGTGCAGTGGGTTGAGCGTGGGGCTGCTAACCAAAAGATCAGTGGTTCAAAGCTACCAGCGACTTCACTGGAGGAAAAGGAGTGTCTGCTGTAAAGATTTACAGATTTGGAAACTAAGAAACAATTCTACTCTCACACAGCATCAGGATTGGAGGAACACTCATTAACAACCTGCAATATGCAGATGATACAACCTTGCTTGCTGAAAGTGAAGACAACTTAAAACATTTATTGATGAAGATCAAAGAGCACAGCCTTCGGTATGGATTACATCTCAGTGTAAAGAAAACAAAAATCCTCACCACTGGACCAATAAACAACATTCTTATCAATGGAGAAAAGATTGAAGTTGTCAAAGACTTAATTCTTCTTGGATCAACTATCAACACTCAAGGAAGCAACAGTCAAGAAATCAAAGGACGTATTGCATTAGGCAAATCTGCTGCACAAGACCTTTTTAAAGTGTTGAAGAGCAAAGATGTCAGCTTGAGGACTAAGGTGTGCCTGACCCAAGCCATGGTATTTTCAATAACCTCACATGCATGCGAAAGCTGGACAGTGAATAAGGAAGACCGTAGAAGAACTGATGCTTTTGAGTTATGGTGTTGGAGGAGAATATTGAAAGTGCCATGAGCTGCCAAAAGAACCAACAGATCCATTTTGGGAGAAGTGCAGCCAGAGTGCTCCCTGGAGGCCAAGATGGCCAAACTCATCTCTCATACTTTGGACATATTGTCAGGAGAGACCAGTCGCTGGGGAAGGATATCATGTTTGGTAAGGTGGAGGGTCAGAGAAAAAGAGGAAGATTCCCCAATGAGATGGATTGGCCAAGTGGCAGCATCAATGGGCTCAAGCATGGCAACAGTAGTGAGGTTGGCCCAGGATCAAGCAGTGTTTGATTCTGCTGTGCATAAGGTCACTATGGGTCGGTACCGACTCAATGACACCTAACAACAACAACATGGGGTCACTGTAAGTTGGAGTCACTATAAGCTGGAGTCAATGACAGTGGACTTGGTTTTGGTTTGGGTTGTGCCTGGTTTTTGACATGAATAAATTTATTCTATACATTCTGGTACCATAGTACGAATCGGGCTGCTAACCTCAGGGTCAGCACTTCGAAACTACCAGCTGTTCTGCGGGAGAAAGACGAGGCTTTCTGCTCCTGTAAAGATTTACAGCCTCGGAAACCCTGTACAGGGTCGCTATTAGTTGGAACCGACTCCACAGCACATAACAACAACAACAACAACATACATTCATGTATAGGTTTTAGTGTAAACATACGTTTCCATTTATAAAGGTGTAGGATTGTTGGGACATATAATAAATTATACAATTGTATTAAAAAAGAAAAAAACAACTGTCAAATATATGCAGGATAATATAAACAGGATTTACATATGGTAAATTAATCAAAAAACTTAACACTGTGTTCACAATAATCTGTAAGAAGAAACCGTTCTTTCAAACACAGCTATGGATTTAAAAGATTTAGCTCTGAGGGTATAAGGTGGTTATCTGAAAAATTCACCAATATGAGACTGAATAAGTAAATATCCCTTCAGACTTCTGCTAAGGTTCTTGGGTAATCAGCAACGTTTTCAATGGATCATAAAAATCTCAGGTACCTGATGGCCAGTACAATCAGGGTTTCATTACTGGTACCTCACTGTGCTGCCCACCCAACTTTCTAATTAGATCCTGAACCCCAAGATCGTCTCATGTGTGTCTAGATTGACCTCAGTACCCACATTTTGCTGCCCCTATTTGCTTTGGCAAGAGCAATAGCTTGCAACTGGTCATGAATACCCAGACCAGCCAGCCTTTCTAACCACCAGAGGTCTGAGATGGCAGGGAGATCATGTGAATTTAAGGCACGACAGAAGCTATGTCTAAGCTGAAAAAGAACAGTTCACCACTGGTGCAGAGAAAAGTGGGGTGACAGCTTTTGCATTATTCTGGAACAGTTTGTGCTGATGAGCTTTTTGTTGTGGTAAAGTTCCTCTAAAAAGAACATTTTCTTCCTCCCCTCATTAACAAAGCAATTCGGCAGAAAGTGAAAAAAGAAGGAGGAACACATGACAGAGATATCCAGGAATTTGGAGATCTTGGATCCTATCACGTTCTTAGCTATTGTGCCATTCATCTATCCCACCATGTCTTGGCAAGACCAGGCTTCATTCATCACTAGGATCATGGCTCTATTCTTAGTGGAAACAAATTTTTGTGTGTTTTTTGTGGGCCAATGACAGTTCTGGATGTGACCATAAATTCAGATACTTTCATCATGGTTGTTCTTGCTAAGAACCTCTAATTGTCTTGTTCAACAAGTACACATATCTCAGTCTAGTTGCCTGGGTCTCAACTTCCTCTCCAGCTTTCTGTCCTGTGGTTTTCTACCACAGTCTGTCTAACCAAATCCACCCAGCATGCTTCTTATTACCTCCATGCCTTTATTCACACTGATTCTCCACCACTCAGGCTACCCCATCCTTTCCACATGATGGGGTACCCACATCCTACCTTTCCTCCATGAAATCTATTTTCTTCCTACTTTGAATACACTGGATATTATCTAGTTCAACTTAATACAAGGGGTTTTACAAAGTTCCTGAAAAATGGAATGAAAAGATAATGGAAAATTTCCATGAACTTTTTGCCCCTCATATAAAATCCCATCTTTTAATCAATCAGCAGAAGTCTGTATTCTATTTGTCCATCTTCAGTGATGGAATTCTTCATCTACCAAAGTCAACTCTTCTATGATGAGATAACTCTGATGGATACTTCTTTATTCTAAAAGAATATACCTATTCTTTACTTTTCCCACATTGGTCCTGGTTTGCCCTTAGAATAACAGAAACAATACAGCAGTGCTTAAAAGCATGGGCTTTGAAATCAGATCTGAGCTCAAATCTAGTGTGCCATGAACAAAATGCCTAACCTTTCCAAGGCTCTGATCCTTGGTAATAATACCAATTTTATAAGGTTGTTAAGAGAATCAAAAAAGTTAACTACACAAAGAGCTTAACACTGTGCCTGACACAAGAGTGTTCAATAAACAGCAGTACTGTGGTTTTCATCGCTATCAGTTTTGTGTAACCACTGTACTGCTTACATATTTAAAGACAAACATTATATTGCCTGAATCACTTTTTCTGAAGACTAAGGTTTCTTCATCAGACTGAAATTATATGAGGCAATGACCATGTCTGTCCTACTGACTACCACATCCCCATTGCCTGGCCCAGGGACTAACACATAATGTTACTGTTGTTATTAAGTGCCAATGAGTCGGTTCTGACTCATTATGTTCCTACATAGGGTTTCTAAGGAGCAGCTGTTGAGTTCGAACAACAACCATACAGTCAGCAGTCTACTGCTTAGCCTACAGTGCCACACTTACACAATTATTGTTGTTGTTGTTGTTAGGTGCTTTCATGTCGATTCCGACCCATAGCGACCCTATATAGGGTTTCCGAGGAGCAGCTGTTGAGCTTGAACTACCGACCTTGAAGTTCAAATGGCTTTGCAGTCTGGAGCATTAACTCACAACACCACACCAGGGCTCCATACTTACATAATAGATGTTGTTGTTGTTGTTGTTGTCAGGTGCCATCGAGTCAGAACCGACTCATAGCGACTCATGTCACTCTTTTCTGATTAAGTTCTCACTCTTCCAAAACCTTCTGACAATATAACATCCAAAATTGAATTCAATACTCAAAGGTGGATTAACAAGCAAGGAACAGACTAGGCTTACTTCTTCCATCCTTTCATACATCACTGAGGAGCTGCCATAACTTGGCAACTTCACCAAACTGCTGGCTCACACTGAGCTCAAAAATCAAACCAGACACTTCAATCTTCTCAAACATGATGACCACGTACTCGGGGCTCTGTGGTTTTAGAGTTTTACCAATACTAAAAGGTGAAACAGTAACAGAACTTTCTCCATCCTAGAGATCCCACTAACTCTTACAATCTAGGCCACTCAACTGGCTCTCAGCAATTACAGTCTGGAATAAAAAATGATCTTTCTAAAAACATTTGTTTCTTCCTCCGAAATAGAGAATGCGCTTCCAGAGGGGAGGATTTTACTGTCTTGCCTCTCTCTCACATGCCAAACACAAAATACTAATTGACCACCTCCACTGACATCAGTATTACAATTAGGATCCCGGGAAACCTTGAGACTCCCTTTCCTCTTCTAACAGCACACTCGGTCAGTGTCATGCTACCAGTCAGTAGGTTGGAACCAATCCAGACACAGACACAAGCATAAGATCTACATCTAACAGGCTACCTTCTCCAAGGCTGCTCTGTTGAGAATCACCTCTCCCAATAAGGAATAGTTTCTAGAGAATAAACCACATCTCTCCACAAGAAATAGTCTTCCTAGACAGCTTTCAGGGATTGTTTCACTCAGAAAGAGAAGAGTGCCAGGCAGGGTGAACGAACTTACCTCATCACTCTCTTCCACATCCACATCACCATTGGCATCATCGTCCATCAGCTTGTGGATGCTGCGGACAGCCTCAAAACTGAGCTTTTCATCTACAATGTCGCACAGGGGCTTGTCAATCCGGCAAAACTCTGCACAGGAAAAGCAAGAGACAGCATTACTCAGGGCTGTCACCAAGGTTCTATCACCCACTTATCTAAGAATTCTTAGCTTCTACCACTTGACAAAAAAATTGCAACAGTACATCAACTAGGAGCTGTCAGAAATTCAAGCCCAATTCAGAAAAGGATGTAGAACTAGGAATATCATTGCTGATGTCAAATGGATCTTGACTGAAAGCAGAGAATACCAGAAAGCTGTTTACCTGTGCTTTAGTGACTATGAAAACACATTAAACTGTATGGATCATAATAAACTATGGACAACATTGTGAAGAACAGGTATTCTAGAACACTTCATTGTGTTCATGAGGAACTTGTAAACAGACCAAGAGGCAGTTGCTCCAACAAAACAAGGGGGTACGGAATGGTTTTAAGATCACAAAATGCATCACTAGGATGGTAGTATCCTTTCACTATACTTATTCAATCTGTATGCTGAGTAACTATTCCAAAAAGCTGAATTATAGGAAGAATGTGACACCAGGATTGGAGGATGACTCATTAACAAACTGAGATATGCACATGATATAGCCTTGCTTGTTGGAAGTGAAGAGAACTTAGCATGTATACTGATGAAGGTCAAAGATAACAGCCCTCAGTATGGATTCCAACTCATAGCAAAGAAAACAAAAATCCTCACAACTGGTCCAGTAACAAACATCATGATGAATGGAGAAAATATGTAAGTTGACAAAGACTTCATTTTGTTTGGCTCCACCATCAACACTCATGGAAGCACCAGTCAAGAAATCAAATAATGTGCTGCATTAAGTAAATCTGCTGCAAAAGACCTATTTAAAGTGTTAAAAAGCAAAGATTTCAGTTTGGTGCAAAGGTGCACCTGACCCAAGCCATGGCATTTTTAATTGCCTCATATGCATGTGAAAGTTGGACAATGAATAAGAAACACTGTAGACAATTGATGCATTGAATTATGGTGTTGTCAACGAATACTGAAAGTACCATGGACTGCCAGAAGAACAGACAAATCTGTCTTGTTAGAAGCATAGCCAGAATGCTCCCCTAGAAGAGAGGATGGTGAGACTTTGTCTCTAGTACTTTGGACATGTTATGAGGAAGGACCAGTCTCTGGAGAAGAACATCATGCTTGGTAAATTGGAGGGTCAACAAAAAACAGGGAGACAACCCCCCCCCCCCAAACAAGATGAACTGGCACAGTGGCAGCAACAATGGACTCAAAAGTAACAATTGTGAAGCTAGCACAGTACTGGGCAGTATTTTGTTCTGTTGTGTATAGAGTCACTATGAATGGAAACCAACAGGAAGGCACCTAACAATAATAGCAATAATCATATGACTACTTATGTTGGCCCCAAATGGGTTCCTCATACAGTGAAGGAAGTATTTCATATAGCCTTTAACTATCTCTTAAGAATGTGTCAAGCTCCCTGCAATATCTTGAATTGATTTGATATGGCTTTTCTAGCAATGCCTTAATTTCCACCAAGTGATTGTGTGGGACGATGCAAATAAGATATACAGGACTCTAAGGCTGGGATTGGTTCGTTTTGACATCCAGCTAGGCTTTAAAGGAAACATCTCAGAAGCAGGAATAAACGATTCCAAGACATTCAAGAAGGAAGAGTATGAATGGAGTGTGAGATCCCTACCTAGAAAAGCAGTGAAAGCAAAGGCGACAGCAGAGGCGGTGGCAAGGATAGATAGAGCAACTGTGGATTCTAGGCCCATGGACTGTGGCAGAGGCCAAGGGGCCACGTGGCTGAGAAACCAAAGGCAAGAGTGGGGCATGTGTGCAGTACAGCATAGAAGAGATGTTCCCAACTGGAGAACTGCTGCGTCCTGAACTTTTTTTGATCCTGAATTGTACCCTGTACACTTCCCTAATGAAACCCATAATTGTGAATATTGTTAAGAGTTCTGTGTGGCCATTGCAATGGATTATTGCAATGAGTGCTTCACATGTGCAAGGGATGGTTGGAGTCAGAATAGGGTAAAGAAAGTTATACACTAGGAGAGTATCTGACCTCCACTTCATAGGAATTGGCTTTGGGCTGATTTTGAGTTTGATTCTCTTTCCTCCTTGTGAAGCCAGGAGAAGTCAGACATGGCTCCCACAAGACTTTTGCACTCCCCTAGTCAAAGACAGTGCTTTATCATCCTAATAGTTCCATGGCAGGGAAATCAATATACTAGGATGTGGACAAAGAACATGGATAGATAACTCACAAAAAAAAAATACAAATGAGAGAAAACACAAATGGTCAATGACATAGAAAAGAATTTACTGGTAAATCAAAATAACATACATAAATTTACGTGTATTAAATTAATTTTTTTAAATGCCTATTCAAATGTCAATTAGTCAAATAAACAAAGACTTAACAACTCAGTAAATTCAAAGGTAGTGAAAAGAAGTACCCCCATATAGTTTAACTGTAATGTAAAATAATAACACACACTTTTTGGAAACAGGCAGTTAGTTCCAGTGCCAGAATAATGGGTAGTTTTCCCTTTTGCTCACTTTGTCACTGCTGGTATATATATATATAATGCCAGCCATAGGCTGATTAAGGAAACCCTACAGGGAATTACATCCAGCAAATCTCTTTTAAACATGTCAAAGTCCTGAGCTCATATGATACAGCAGCTTGGGAAGTCTAGAGTGCAGTTTCTTTTGCCTATCATCACAGAGCCACACAGCAATAACACCAGTACAAGGACGTGGCCACCCCAGCTCTTTCCATGACACTGACTTCTCTTACAAACCTGAAATATACCTAGGCTGACTGATGCACATAACAGAAATCTAGCCTTAGCTCTCCACTGGGGGAGGTCACTTCCCTTTTCCAGGTCTCAGGTTCACTATTTGAAAAAGGCAATTTGGCTAAAGTTTCTAGTAGGTCTTCCAATTCCTAGATTTGAAAATTCCTCCTTACTTTAGAGCCTGCTCTTGATAAGCACTTCCTAGGCAGAGTATTCCTCACATCTCTCCCAAACTAGATGGAAAAAAGATCTTGACTTGCCAGGTAAGAAAAGAAGTTACCACAGGAGAGGAAGCAAGCACAAAGTAAAAGTCCTGTGGCTAGGAAGCCTTCTACAAGGCACTACTCAAAAACCTGAAACATCAATTTATCTGATGTTTTATTTGTCTGCTTGCCAGAACCAGTGACAAGACAGAACATGACAGGTCACCTCTTTATCATTTCCCAGTTGTTCAAATCCTTTTCAAGATGAAGTATGGGAATAAATATTTAATTTTTTAAACCTCATAGATGCCAAATAATATGTTCAAAGTCAAATAAAAGCAGATGAAGATTGCAATGAAATAATGAGTGTAAAACCGATGTTCTCCCATGTAAGCTATCACTCAAAGCACAATATTCACACACACCACAAAAAAAAAGAAGATGAAGAGCCACAGTAAGAGCCCTGGTTTGCTGACTCCCAGACCCAAACTTTACTTAGAGTGCCTTTATGCTAAGGTGACCAGACAGCTTTGGTTTGGTTCCATCTACTAGAAGCCAAAGATAGCAATATGCAAAAAACACACTGAGTAAATGGCTTTCCAAGAGAAAATAAAATGAACTGTATGCCTACAAAGAAATATCTTCATCTTTATCTTGCTGTGGTGCTGCAGGATAAGCACTTGACCACAAGGTTTGTTTGAACATGAAGGTCAGTGGTTCAAACTCAGCAGCCACTCCTCAGAAACCCTATATAGGGTTGCTAGGAGTCAGAACCAACTCGACAGCACTTAACAACAACATTCATCCTGCCAAGTTGGTGAGAGGGTGAAAGGATACTGGATACTGAGGGAGTTGTTGTTGCTAAGTTGAGTTGGTTCTGACTCTTAGCGACCCTGTATAAGGTTTCTGAGGACCGGCTGCTGAGTATGAACCACTGACCTTGTGGTTCACAGTCCAGTGCTGATCCTACAGCACCACACCAGGAGTCCATACTGAGGGAGAGAGTGTAGCAAAAGATTAAGTCATTGGTTTCAGTTTGTTTGTTTACAACTTTTCATTGTTTTTGGGTGAAAGGTTACAGAGCAAATTGATTTCCATTCAATAATTCATACATACTTTGCTTTGTGACACTGATAGCAATCCCCACAACGTAACAGCACTCTGCCCTCTACCTCCCAGTGTTTACTGTTTCCCTTTGTCCTTTCCTATCCTTCCAGCCTTCTGAGCTTAATCAGGCAAATGTTGTCCTTTTGAACTCAAATGATTGATTGTTCTAAGAAGTGTATACTTCCCTGGTGGTACTGTTCACCCTCTGGTTGCACAGTGGTTATGAGTTAGGCTGCTAATCTCAAGGTCAGCACTTTGAAATTACCAGCCATTCCACACGGAAGACAGATTGAGGCTTTCTGCTCCCATAAAGATTTACAGACTCTGAAACCCTAAGCAGGGTCACTATGAATCGGAACCCCCTCCAAAGGGGTGAGTTCAATTCCAGGCCTGAGGGGTGTCTAAGGGTCATAGTCTCAGGGGGTCCACCAGTCTCTATGAGACCAGTTAGCCTGTTTTTTATTACTTTGAATCATGTCCCACTTTATCCAGGACCCTATTGTGATTCCTTTGAGAGCGATCTACAGTAGGTAGGTATCTTCTAATTCTTCTGATCTCAGGGTCATGGAGACTGGGGTTCACATGGTAAGGCATTGTTTTTCAACTTCCTCACCAACAAGAGCTCCTGCATAGTGTTTCATTCATGTACACCATTGCTGAAAAAACTATCTACCTCCTCCTCCTCCGAAAAAAAAAGAGAATAAATGACTAGGTCATAGATGAAGCATAGAACACCTATATAACAGTTTCCTTCCCTGACCCCTGTTTTTTTTTTATTACTCAAAGGCATGTATAATTACTTATTAGAGCTTTATGATTGGCATATAACATAGTCATTTAAATAGCACTTATTGAGCACTCTTCATTTATCAGTCCATGTGATAATTAAGGTTTGTGTCAACTGGGCTGGGCCAG